AGGAAAAATTTAGTAGTTTAAAGAGCTACTGTTTCCTGGTACCATGCAAGGTCTGACAACACAATAAGAAAGATACAAAAAAAAAAATCAATTATATTACAGCTTATGTTAATGAACGAAAGGAGAATTGAGTGGTGAGTGCATGTACCTTCTAGCAAAGAGCTCTTGAAAGAAAGAAAGAAAGAAAGAAAGAAAGAAAGAAAGAAAGAAAGAAAGAAAGAAAGAAAGAAAGAGAGAGAGAAGATGAAAGTCTACAACATGAAGAGATGGGCTCTGCCTCTGGCCTTGTGCTAACTTCTCATGCTCTGCTGGACCCTCCCAAGCCTCCAGCCTCTGGTCTTCTTTTGCCCCTGGTGTATTTCTGCACAGATGTGACAACAATTTTTTGATAATCATATTGCCCTTCCTAAGCAGAAATTAAATAATCTTTTGGAAAGCACAATACTAAAATTCCACAGCCTTTAAAATCTTATAAGGTCGCTCTCCAGATGCCATTTCTGACCTAATTTTGACCTCTTCAAAGAATCGCTCCTTTCATTAAAACTTTAAAACATATTTCACACAACATGTCATTCCATACCACTTAAATCTGCATAATTCAATATGGTAGCTGCTGACCTCATGTGGCTACTGAGCAGTTGTGATATGGCTTCTCAAATGGAGATGTGCTGTAAGTGTAAAATGTATGTTGGAGTCTGAAGGGTCTATGAAATGAGAAATTTTAAATATTTCATTTAGCATTTTCATACTAGGGTTGAAATAAGATTTTTAATAAATTGGATTAAATACAATATCTCAGTAACATTAATTCATCTTTTTTCACATATTTAAGGTGGCTGTTTGAAATTTAAAATTAGGCCCAGCAACTATGGCACAGTGGTAAAAATCACAGTGTCCTGCAAGGCTGGAAGCCACATGTTAACCACAGATTTGGATCCCCAGGTTGGCCTGAAAACATGGAGAGTGTGTATGTGGGTGCCCAACATCCTGATGAGATGGAGAGCTGGGGAAAGAGGATTGTAGTGTGATGAGACCATGTCAAGAGAGCTTTATCTCTTTCTGTCTCACATGTATGCACATGTGCCCCCATCATTAAAAAAGAAGACATGTAAAATTACATGTGGGATACATGATTTCTATGCAACAGAAATAGTCTGAATAGTTCTCTAGTGTGTACACATACATATGTACTAATGTGCAGAAGTGTGCCTTTGCCTTGTAAGCTGAGGGTTAGAACTCTACCATATGCTCCTCCTGTGGCACTCAGCAGGATCCAAGGAAGTTGGTAAAATCATGTTTACTGAATTTGCAAGGACCTTCTTGCTACAGGATAAATGACAGTGGCTGTGCTTGGGACCTTCAGGAATGTGGGGAAATGGGTGAAGAGGTAGGTCTTCAGAGAGTCTTTCCATGGAGCAGCCAGGCCCTAAGAGTCCTCCATGGACTCCCAAGTTCAGGCTGTGCTCTCCCATGAAACAGCTTTCCACGTGTTCTGTGCCCACTGACTCTGGAACCACCTGCTAGATCTGCTAATCATTCACCAATTTTGGCTTCCTTCTCCACTGCTGGTGGGCAGTGTCTGCTTGAATGGGCGATTCCTATCTTCAATGTCCTGGGACCAGGATGTTCATATGTTAATGAACAACATGGAGCATTGATGCCTGGCCATGGTGGGAACCTGAGCACTCCAGATGGGACCTTAAGTGGGACCACTTGTCTTGCATACATGCCACTCTCAACCTCCCATTGCTGTTGGGTCAGTGCAGCTGTTCTCTCTCTTTCTCTGAGCATTGGTGTCCAGCTCATGGCTGCCAGGACCAGCTGAGGAAGTGAGTGTGAGAGCTGCAGTCGGCCCTGCTGCTTTTATTCGCATGAACTATAGTCCTGAAATTCGAGGTGACACACCAGGAGTGACCCATGCAGCTTGCAGCCAGCCAGGATCATGGGCATGTGAATGCAAGCCTGGAATGCACAGGGAGACCTCGGGATGGAAGCCTAGGACCCTCCCATGTGGCTTCACCATCATGGAATGACACGCCACCACATCACTGAAACTGGCCCCAACATTCACTTTTTAAAAACAAGGGTATGATGTTGAGCAAATCAAGAACAAAACTGGAACCAGAATCCAGATTTCTGACTTCTTGTTGAGGCATTTTCCACTTTATGCTATCTTCTTAAAGCTGTGTCTCCATTCCTCAACAGTGACAATCGTTGCCTTCAGGCTGTGGGATTATGGCTGATTTTTTACTTTCTTCCTTTTGCTTACATAGTTAACCTGATTTTTCTACAATGACACACAAATAAAAATGATTAAAATTTATAATTAAATAAGCAAAGTAGAACCCTTCAGAAAGCAGAATTAAGTTGTTTTCCCAGTGTGTCTTTATACTCAACTTCCCAGTCCCGCCAAATCTCAATAGCAAGGAGTGGTCTGAATTACTGCCATCCTCAAGGACAGAGAGAGAGATTTCATTTTTGAGGCATTAAGTAGACTGGAGACAAAGTAGATACTGTACTTGGGAGGATTCAGAGGCAGTACTGTGCCCCCGTTTTTGTAAGCTCTTCTCACTGGGGTACTAAGAGCATAGAGTTGCTGCCTCTGCCCTTGGAGTATGAGGGCAGATAATTATGCAGTAGCCAGAAGTCAGACTGACTCATGTTCATGTTCTATGATGAGTTTCCTCTCTTCAATACACCTGTGATCCCCAGAGAAACAACCATTTCGTGTATCCTCTGTGGTAATTCCAGAATGTGCGCACTCTAGTATTCCATCAGCCCCTCTACCTTATGCTTGGCAAGGTATTACTGAGTACTTAGGACTCTTGTCTTCCTGGGCACATTAGACAGTAGTCTAATAATTGGGAAATGAAGTTGATGGGCTACTTCACATTAAAATATAAATGGCCAATACCAGCTCAGTAGAGTTATGCTTCTCAATGGCATCTACATTTTATGGAGTACTTAATTTCTTATGTCAGAGATGGATCATGGAAATAGAGTGGTATTAAGCAAGGGATAGGGTATATATTTTGACGTGTATAGTATTATCAACTGGTTTAGCCTGATAACTATTTTATGATGGGTAAAGTCTTTTTACAAGAAAAATGAGAAACAGTGATTGACTGTTTAAAAAAATAATTGGAATAATAATAATAATGATTGGAAAAAACAATGAAAAGATATTGAATGATGAAGTGGGGAAATTAATGTCTCTGTATTGACTGACATACATGGCAATCCCTTTTGAAAAAGCAATGTAATACACTGTAAAGTTATATGCAATTCAATGTACTATAAACAAGGTTAAGATGGTAATAAAAAAATTTTAAAAATTAAAAAAAAAACTCAAGAATAGTATACCTAGTCTAATATTCAATATGAGTTATCCATCAGCTAGTTCTTAACATAATTGAATTTTGCTACATTGTCAACAAATATATCTTAAATGCTTGATCCATACACTTACAAAGGTCTCATATATTTTTTGACCAAAAATTGTCATTTCTAGCCTGATTGAAGTTCTCCATTAAAATATAAGCCCCTGCTGTTCCCAAGGGAAAAAAAGAAAGTAGACCTTATATTTGTGAGAGTTGGTGACAAAGTCTATGGAGAGCTGTTGCCTCTCTGCTGTTATTTCAGTTCAATGTGGCAGCAATCAGGAAGAAATACATTACACAAAGCAGAGGAGAGCAAGGACAGATGGAAACTACCAGGACAGTTGAGCTCATGTCTGGCTCTCACCACCTCATACCTCAATGGTGAGCAGCCTGCAGGAAAACCTGGTGCCCTTCACACCAAGAGAAGGCTGGGGAGTTATAGGCCTGCTTGCTCCCACACCCAGGTGAGCCAGCAGGACAGGGAAAAAATGCATGAGGGAGGGTGGTGGCAGACACCTTCCAACTTCAGAGTAGATTTGGGCTGCTGCTTTACTTCTACCTTCTGAGTCTCATCCAACCCTAACTTGGGACCATGCAGAATTCTGAGAAATGCAGTTCAAGCTTAGTTATGCTGAAATACTACAAAACTACAGCAGGACCAGCAGGCAGCATAATGGTTACATCTCTAGACTCCACAGTTGACTGCGGTTCAAGTCCCAGACCCAGTGGCTTAAAACTCATGCCAGGCATACCCAGTGGCTTAAAACTCATGCCAGACATGTGTGGGTGCATGCCCAAAATCCTAAAAGGTGACTGGAGGAAAAGAGATCACAGCATGGCCATCCCCCCTGGGGGGGTGGTTTCTCTGTCTCTCTGGTGAGTGCACATGTCCTATAGCAAAACTCTCTAAAAACAAAAACAAAAACAAAAAGCCACTGCAGCCTCTAAAATGACCATCACAAGGTCACTTTTCAGATTCATCTACTGACCAGTAGATTTTGAACCAGTGTGTGGGTAGCTTTGGGGGGAGAGATGTGAGGGATATGCCCACCTCAGCCTTCTAGCTCATCGTAAGAGGAGGTAAAGGGAGGCGAAGGGAGTTGCCCTGGTAGTCTTCAAGATGTGTCTATCACAGAAGAACAGAAAAGCCAGACAGGTGCTAAGTGTGCATTCTAAGTTTATATATCCAATTGCTGTTAAATAGTGCCCTCTCCCCCCCTCAAAATTGTTTGACCTTATGATTGGACCAAAGTTACATCTGAGTAGGGAAGGATATTTGAGAGCTTATGAGTGCTCAAGCTCTTTTTGGATACCATAACAACCTTAACTTCATTCCATTTCCCTCTCCCCTTCTCCTCTGAGCACTAAGCAGGATGAGAGGAAGGGAGTCATAGGAAATAGGGGTAAGGATGACCAGAAACACTTCAAGAGCTGAAAGCCCACTCACCAGCTTCCTTCTTTGGCCGAAGCCAGTTACTCCCCCATATACCAGAATGAAATGGAATAATGAGACCATATTTCACCAAATGCGTAGGCTTGTCTCAAGAAACATTTCCTTTCTGTGGTTGAGTAGTGGGTGGGGAGAGATGATACAAATAGGTGAAAAGCAGCTCTTTCCAGAGCCCAGGCCTTGAAGGAGCCCCGGAAGGTGAGGCTGTGCCTGAGTTTTGGGCCTCTCTCTTTGTCAGACAGATCTGTAGCTCAATGGGAACCTTCATAGGTCATGTGTATCCAGGGCTGTTTTTGGTCTTATATGGACTCTATCAGGCAATAGTGGTCTCCAAAGCTGTGATACTCAATGACTCTCTCCTGCATCCTTCATGTCCTCTCAGGAGTAAGGGAAGATGGGCCAGTCTGTGGAAAATATCCTATGGAGGTTTGTTGAAGATGGTGGCTGGTTCCCTCTTGATAGCTTATGAGGTCAGTTGCATTAAAGGAGGGCTGATACTGATGAACAGGGAGCTGCCACCAAGGTTTATGTACCCCAAAGAGTGGCAGCACCTTACCATGTTCACCCTCCTCACTCTCAACGGCTGTATAGACTTCCTGAGCAAGAACATACTACCTCAGAGATGTGTGGCCCTAGAAAAATGTACTCTGGTCCTTTCCTTCTATGAGCTTCTGCTGCTATTCGTGTCCCATGTGAAGGACTCGGCTGGGGTAGAGCTGCAAGTTCACTCCCTGCTCATCTTGGTGGTGTTCCTACTGACACTGGTGCTCACCGCAGAGCTGTGGGCTCCCAACATGTTTCACCTCTGGCTGATTGAGACCTTTCTGTTTCTGATGATGGGCTCTTGGCTGATGCAAGCAGGCTTCATTCTATACAGACCAATCTCCAGCTATCCATGGCAGGATGACGACATCAGTGACATCATGTTCGTCACTACTTTCTTCTGTTGGCATTTGATGATCAACGCTTCATGCCTGTTGGGCATCTATGGTGTCTGTTCCTTTTGGCATCGTTATTACAGTCCCAGCTTGAAGCTGAAGGCATCCGAAGAAGCTCCCTATCACGCGAGCCCTCCAGGGCCCCTCTACAAGTTACTGCAAGAAGTGGAGCAGTCAGAGAATGATGACCAGGCTCTTCTCCTTTCCAAGAGCTCACCCTGAGATAGGGTCTAGAAAGCCTGGGACATGGTCCACCCCAACCTCCTCCTGTGCATCCTCTCAGCCATGTGTATGTGCCCTCTTTGGTCCCCAGTGAAGGTAATGGCCCTAAAGGACTGTGGGTGTTCCCCACCATTGCTTCTGTCCCTGGGCCTCTAATCCTGGAGGGGATGAAGAGGGACTTACGAAAGGGATGCTGATGAGGTTTAGGGAAGGGGGTGGGGAAGAGGACCAGGGCAAGAAATCAGTGTGCAAAGAAAGGTGTTGGGGTGAGACGATACAGGAGAAGGGAAGCAGAGTCTCCAGCGATGCTGGCACAGCTGCTTCCCTGCGCACAATAAAGTCTCACAGTTCAAAACAACTCATTCAAGTTCCGTCCTGATAAAGTGGGTACTTTCATGTGTGCACTAAGTGTCACTGCCATGCAGAAGTAGTGAAATAGAACTTATAATTTACACAGGTTGAAATTATGCTTGTCTCCTCCACCTCACCTTGACTTTGAAGGTTCAGCTTCATTTCACATTTTACATATGAAGTGAAATCTTTTAAAACATTTTGGTTAATACTTCAAATTTGCATAAAACCTAAAAAAAAAAAAATAAAGAGAAATGTTTATAGAATTCAAGCGCCTGGTACTTTTTCTTTTTTTTTTCAGAGAATTTTGCTATAGGGCGTAAAGAAAAATATTTATAGAATTGAAGTGCCTGGTACTTTTTCTTTTTTTTTCAGAGAATTTTGCTATAGGGCGTGTGTGCTCATCAGAGAGACAGAAAGTGAGAAATTACTCCCCAGGGAGGATGGCCACACCACAGTTCCTTCTATTCTCCTCTTGGGATTCTGGACACACACACACACACACACACACACACGACCAGTGTGTTTCAAGCTGCCAGGTCCAGGACTGGAACTGCTGTCGGCCACATGGGAGTCCAGTGCCTTAACCACCATGTCACCTGCTGGCCCTGCCTGGTACTTTTCTAACTTCATATTTTATTACTCCTGCTCTAGCCAAAACATATCTATTTCATCGTTCCTACCCTTGTGCATGTAGCTTGCTAGATTCCACCCTTGAGTCTTTAACCCCCCCACCCCCGCTTGCATCTCACAGACAACCAACTTGCAACAGCATTTTTACTGGGTTACTACATGCCCAAAAGGAAACCCATCTCCATCCACCCCTACCCCACTAAGCATCCCAAAGCCACCTTCTGGAACTCGAATCAATTCCTCTGTTTGGAATTCTTAGGCACTGATACTAAATCAGCCTTGTTATTGTCCCCATACAGCTGATGAACTTTGCTGTTGTTTCTGAAACTGTTTCCCTTGGGCAGGTTTTTCCCCACCAGCTAAAGTGTAGGATTGTAAAGAGTGGAGATTTTGCCTATCCAAGTTACATTATCTCCTATGCATATTCCAACTATGTAATGTATTTTATACTTAATAAAAAACTTATTTGCTGCCAGACTCTCTCCCTACAAAGTGCTCCTTCAAAATGTGATGCCAGGGACCAGCAGTTAGTGTAATGGCTATGTCACTGGACTCCCATGCAGTTGACCGCAGTTCGAGCCCCGGACCTGGTGGCTTAAACTCACGCTGGGCGCATGTGCATGTGTGCCCAAGATTCCTAGAGAAGAATGGAGGAGAAAGGATTGTGGTGTGGGCATCCCCCTGGGGCATGATTTCTTGCTTTCTATCTCTCTGTCTCTGTCTGTCTGGCAAGCACATAGACCCTATAGCAAAAACCTCTCAAAAAAAAAAAAAAAAAAGGTGATGCCAGACAGGTGAGAGGTTCTGTGAACTTCTGAGTGACACCAATAGTCCTAAAGCCTGAGTCATCATCTTAGTGATGGGACCATTCTCTTCCTCATTCTTGGATATAATAAAAGACAATAACCTGTTTCCGAATTGTTTGTTGTTATTGTTTTTAAATACTCAAACAGTTCTGTAAGAAACCTCCAGAAAACTAAGACTTTTGAAGGCTGACTTGCCCCAGTCTCAGCTAGTACAAGGCAAGACAGCAATTAAAGTGCAGGTGACTGTCCTGAGCCATAATAACTTGTTTAGTGGCAATAGAGAAGAAAATGATCCTCAAAATAAAATTGTTAGAAAGAATGAAAAACAGTCAGTTAGAAGGCCCCAGTGGACTAAGCAACACAGTATAAATACCCTAAACTCTCCTCTACACCCCTAAAGGTGTATTTTTTTTTCATGTTTTCTGTCCACGCCCACCCGCTGACCCGTCTCCCCTGGGAGAGACAATCTGGCAGACTCTCAACTTCTGGACAGGCCTTAAGTTTCTGGGCTCAGATCCAGGTGAGGGTTGAGGATAAGACCTGCTTGTGATCAAGTGTTCCAATTCTTACCATTTCCCCTTCACTCTTCTCCTAGATTCTTTTCAATTGCCCTTTGTTGGGAGCCTTCCTTTCCTCTTTGCCTCTCCTATACGTTGACAGCAGGTGATGAAAAAACACCAGCACCATTAGGCCTAGAGCTCTAAGGGTAAGCCCCGGGTAATCAAGTGATACTCCCCAAATAATCTCTCTCAAATATCCAATGTCGATTAGCTTGCATGTCATTAACTTACTATTTGAGATGTAACAGAAAGGCCCTTCCAGTGAAGGCCAGTCAAGAAAGGAATCTTTCAGGGATCAGGACATGGCATAGTGGTAAAGTGTTGGACCCCCACATGGCCAAACGCCATTTGAATCCTGGACCCAGTGACCGAAAAAAATCATACCCAGCACATGTGCATATGTACCCAAAGCCCAAGAGGAGAATGGAAGAGAAGGGATTACAGCATGGCCATCACCCGGAGGTGGGAGGCAGGGGCAGATTTCTCACTTTCCCTCTCTCTGTGTCTCTCTCCAGTGAGCACACGTGCCCTATGCCAAAAACGTCTTAAAAAAAAAGAAAAAAAAAACTTTCCAAACACTCGAGCTTTGGGGGAGAAGCTTGTAATTCTCATAAAATTCCTCCAGAGGGCACTATGTTCACATCACCCTGGCTAAACCTCTTGCTGTTCAAACTCGGTAAACAAGTCTCCGAAGAACCGATTTAAAAGAAGTGGGGGAGGGGAGAGGAGGGCAGGAAAAATACAGAACCAGACTAAGTATTGCCCAAGCATCCAGAAAACATACCCCACGGCTGTTTATTTCCCGTTAAAATTTAGCAAGTGAGCATGAAATAAACAGGGATTCAAATCATCTAACTGGGAGGGGAGGGGATGTAAAAAACAAGACTATGGATCAGGTGAAGATTTCTTTGGGAAAAGTACCCACTCGAGGTACACTCTAATCCAAATAACTTTCTGATCAGAATGCTAAATTTCCTAAAGTCTTCGATAAACTTCAATAATGTTCCAATCAATCTAGAGAACAAAGAGAGATCCATATCCGCACCGAGAATAAAGAACAGAATGTATCTTAAAAAATGAAGATTCACAAAACAATGAATCTAGAGACAGATTATTAGATGTGCAAAACACCCTCCAAAGATTCCTTCAAAGAGAGCCTGCTATACTGTTCCAGTATTTTTCTGGAAATTTTGTCATTCACAAAGAAAACATTACATGTCCCACTTAACAGAAGTCTCTGGGTCAACCATAAGGTTGGATTCAGATAAACTGATGAATCCCTGCATTCTGTACTTTCCTCAGTAGATAAGGAACAATTTCAGCATTTCATAGATGGTGGCCCAGGAACACATAACCCAGACCTAGAAGACCACAGTAAGGGACAGAAAGGGCCCTCAAAGGAACAACAACCTGGAAACAAATTAGGCTCTGAAATACTACCCTGACATGACTCCAGCAAGTTACTACAAGTTATCAAGGTCTCTGTTCCTTATATTTAAGACAGAAGATGTGAAAATCTAATTCCAGAATTACAAGTCTCTTTTAAAAAATGTTTATTTCTTCTATGAATAAGAGAGACACACAGAAAGAGAGAGTAAGATAGACTCACTCCCAGCTGGGTCTTAAAGCCACGATCCACCTCTAGACTCAGCCAGCCCTGAATCTTGGGCACATGTGCACCTGACATCCTCGGGGAGGTCTCCAGACGTGAACCCAGAACCTTCCAGTGTGGGTCAGCCTCACAGAGTATTATGCCTTCCCATCGTGTCACTGTCCAGCCCCTATGTGGCATTAATTTTCTCAGTAAAACTTAAAACACTCAGACCTTTATTGATAAGGGGCAACTTGGGAAATGAAGTGTTCCTTACATTTGAATGATTTCACTGGGTGTTCAACAAAGCTAAAATCAAGCTAAAGAGACACAGCTAAGACCTGAACTTTGAATTTTCTCCCTGAACTTAAGAATATCAATCAAGGGACCTGCAGATGGAGAAATGGCTAAGTCACTGGACACGTAGTCGACCAGGGTTCGAGTCCCGGATCTGGTGGCTTAAACTCATGCTGGGCATGTGTGTGTGCCCCAGATCCTGAAAAGAGAATGGAGAAGGGATTGTGGTGTGGCCATCCCTCTTAGCGGGTGATTTCTCGCTTTCTGTCTCTGTCTTCCTGGCAAGCACATGTGCCCGATTGCAAAAACCTCTCCAAAGGAAAAAAAAAAAAAGAGTATCAATCAAAGGAGACCAGAGGACAATGTAATGGTTACATTGCTGGACTTCTGCGTAGTCAACCACAGTTGAAGTCCTGGACCCAGCAGCTTAATATTCACCCTGAGCACGTGTGTGTACATACCCAAAATCCCAAGAGGAGAATGAAGAAGGGATTGTGGTGTGGCCATTCTCTCTGGGGTGTGATTTCTCACTTTCTGTTTTTCTCTCTGGAGAGCACATGCACACTAGAGCAAAACTCTGTTTAAAAATTTTAAAAAGAGTATCGATCAAAGACTATTAAAAAAAAAAAAAAAAACCTTCTGGGGCCAGCAGATGGCATGGTGGTTAAAGGCACTGGATTCCCACATGGCCGATTGCATTTCGAGTCCCAGACCTGGCGGCTTGCTTTTTTGCTTTCCCTTTCTCTCTCTCTGTCTGGTCAAAAAAAAAAAAAAAAGAAAGAAAGAAAGTAACAAATAGAATTAAATAAATAAATAATGCTTTGTTTAAAATAAATCTGTACTCAATGTTAGTTAGCATTAAAGTATAAACTAATCTTTCCTTCTTTAATTGTATGAACTGAAATTTGGAAGCTTGGCAAAGTGTAGCTTCTCCCCAAAATATGGCTTAAGGGTAATGCCATCACATTCCAGAGCTGCTTCTTTTCTTTCTTTTGTTTTAGTTTAGGATTCTACTATGGTCTATTTTTTTGGAAAGAACATGTTTTGTTAAGAAAAAATTAAAAGAATATTTTACAATTCTGGATTTGGTTTCCAGGACGCTCCTCAACCTGAGTCTCGGCTGTGTCTCTTTTGCACGATTTAAAGTTTTAGTTGGATGCCCACTGAAGTCATTCATGTACGGGGGAAACTCCATTTCCCAAGCAGCATTTTATAGTTGAATATTTGGGTCTGTGTGAGCCCTACCCTACTAAGTTTTGTGCAAGGCAAGCATGCAAGCCCTAGGAAGGCTCTCTGATCACAAGGGTAAGGGCTTTAGACCTAAGAGTAAGAATGAAACCTGTAAGGGCTGGCCTCATAGCACAGTGATTAAATGCTGCTTATAGAAAGTGGGACCCCACAAACCAACTGTGGTTCATATCCTGCCCCTGGTGGCTTGAAAAACACACTGGGCACGTTTGCATGTGTGACTAGAATCCTGAAAGGATGGAGAGGTGGACTAATGGGGATTGCAGCATGACCACAGCCCATTGGGGAGGTTCTCATCCTCTCTCTCGCTCTCTCTCTCTCTTTCTCTCTCTCTCTCTGGTGAGTGCAAATGCCTCTGGCAAGTAAGAAAAAAAAAAAGGTTGTTTAAAAGAGAAAGGAGAGTTGTGAGAAGAACTCACAGGTAAAGCCCACTCAAGATAGGACTTTTATTTCAGGCAAGAGAATAACATTGAACAAACGCCTTTAGTCCTGAGCCGTTCCTGCAGACAGGGAACACAGTCTTTACCTACAATGGTGCTCTCCCACTCCACCCACCTCTGGGGCACAGCAGCTCTGCTCTGAAAGAGAAAACCTGACTTCAAAGCATATGTGATAGCACCCCTTGTCGGCTTTGATACTGCGTGTACCCAGAGACAAAAGTTCATGGGTTCAAGCATTCTAATGCTCTTTTTAAGAAGGGGTAGAGAATGGGGGTGGTGATAATTTAGGGAAGAAGGGTCAGGAGAACAAAGGGCAGCAGACACAGCAGAGTCAGCCTGGGTGAAACAGGCCATTCTACTTGCAACTTCTCCAAAAGTACAGCCTGGGTTTCTGGGGGTGAACCAATTAAGGGACTTTCTTCTGCCTTTTCTTCTCTTGGACACTCATAACCTCCCTGGTTAGTCCTTGGACTCGTCTGGGCCCTCCGTTGGCTGGTTTACTTTAGTGAGGGGCTGACCAAGGAGGACAAGGCCTCTGTTCACTTCTGAAAGAGTCCGTGGTCACGCATTACGTTCCTAACCCTTTCAGAGCATGCCGCGGGTCACATGAGAGGATCAAAGCAAATCCAGTTCCATTCTTGGAAAAGCAGCTCAAAGCACATGTTCTCTTGATGGTGCCGCTGTCACTTCTGTGTGGTCAACAAACATCACTTATTGAACACACCCCCTGGACACCACTGGGGACATGATGATGAATGTACTGCTCAAGGAGCTTGTGATGGCTAGCAGGGGAAGCACGCATGTACCGGGCAGAAATGCCATAAGCTTAAAAACCTGCGTTTGCTCCTCCCTGTTCCATTTTTTCTTATGTCTGCTGTTCACCTTAGTGCTGGTGGGGCTTCAGTAGAAGGCTTAATTTATGACTTCATAGTTTGGTAACTGGAACTTAACATCTTTTTTTAAAAATGTTTTTGGTCATATGGCATGTGTGGTCACTGGAAAGAAACAGAGAGACAAGAGTGAAAGAGAGAAATCACCACCCAGGGAGATGGTCACACAGTAATCTCTTCTCTTCCACTTTCTCCTCTCTGGATTTTGGGCACACGCACACACACACAGGGATCCAGGGTGATTTTCAAGCTACCAGGTTGGGACTCAAACCATGTTGGCCATGTGGGAATCCAGCATCCTATCCACCATACCCCCTCCTGGCCTAAATTTCACATCTTTTAGAAAAGAACATCAACCACCCTTTCTCCTCTACCACAATCACTTAAACTCAAGACTTTACAGAAAGAAATGGAATGAAGACTTCTCTTTGTTACCAGGTCTAAGCCCTTTCATAAAACTGAACAGTGAGAGTGTTAAACTGAGTCAGAAATTTTTATTTAATGAGCTATTATGGGGGAAAAAAGAATCCAATCTCTTCAGATTATCCTGGTCCAAAATAATTATAATGACTGTTTTCTAAACATTCACTATGTTTTAGGTATGACCTTAATCTTTTTTGCATGTGCAGTCACAATTAATTCTTATATAGGGTAGCTATTATAGTATTTTATGGGCAAGGAACTGAGGCTTCAGTTTCTCAAAGTAAATTGGCCAATACAGTTTCTTGAAGTAAATTGGCCAACACAATGGTGGTTAGAGGTCAAGCACAGGTTGGAACCTAGCTGTCTGACCTGAAGCCCTGGTTATAAACACATTATAATGCTTCAACATTGCAAAGAGAAGTTTAACAAAGAATTTGCAAGATGCCTTACCTAGCCCAAAATGTCACCAGTCTGTAACCACCAAAAGCCCGCTAGAGATGAATGCTACATCTGTCCCTTGAAAGCTCTACAGTGTTAGGCACCCTTAAAGGGAAGGGATGTTGACCAAAGAAACCAAGTTATGTGTGTGTGGTCACAGACAACATTTCTTTGCCACGTTTGTGGTACAAAATACACTCAGAAAAATAAACTTCTCCATTCCTCTTTCAAAGGCACTGGAAGCATGATTTTTTTTCTTTTCTTTTTAAAAATTTCTTTCTTTCATGAGCAAGAGAGAAAGAGAAAGGCAGTCCAGCGCTCTCAACAGGGTCCTGACACCTGATCTACTTCCAGCCTCAGTCATGGCATCTAGCATTGTGTCTTACCATGCCACTGTCATGGCCCAGCATGAATTCTTGGTCTTTGAACAGGAAAATCTCTCAGTCTCAAATACTGGGAGTCTGGCCCACAAGTGGCATGATGGTTAAGGGCTCTGGACTCCCACATGGTCAACTGCAGTTCGAGTCCTGGACCTAGCAGTTTGCTTTTTCACTTTCCTTTTCTCTCTCCCATCAAATTAAAATAAATTGAAATAAAACAATTCTTTTAAAAAATTGAAAAAATTACTGAGGCTCTTGAAAATGCAATAAAGGCTAGACACTATCAGGTGGATTTCAGGCATAAAAACAGGACAATCAAGTAATAGCACCACCAGCAATATATACACATATGTGTGTGTATGTCTATACATACATGTATAATTATTGTGCATCTAATGACAAACATCCATTTCAAGATTGTGTTCACATATACATTTTCTCAACCATCACAGCAAGGTTGGAAAGAGAAAGAGGTACTTATTCTCATTTGCCAGATTGAAAAGAAGCCACATTAAGTTACTTAAAAAGCTCAACCAGGGAGATTGTGTTTAAAGAATGCTAAATACAGGGCGAACCTTGGGCTTCGAAAGGAGCCTGTGAAGACCTGGCTTTCCCTTCAGATGCCCTTGGGACACAGTTTGCACACAGAGTTTCAAATCCGGTGGGCAGCTCTAAAGGTCACCCTTCGAACCGCTTATTTTGCAGATGAGGAAACATGGGCCCTGAGAGGCTGGGACTTGCCTAAGATCTTGGCAGAGAGGGTATCGCCCTCTTGTATCCTCTCGGGAAGTATACACACACAGCACTTGACGAAAACTGTGAAACTGCACAATTCTGCCCACTTCCCCAAACCCACTAAAAGAGCTGAGCAGGGGGCTTCTCGGGAGCCGGCGTCGCTCTCTACAATCACTCGAATCCGGGAAGGGCCCACGGAGGCTCTCTCACAACAAAAGCCAAAATTTGGTTTCCGTAGATCCGGATTTCCACCGGCAGTTCCCCAGCAAAACTACCCACCGTAAAGGCAGCAGGGGCTGAGCCTCGGGCTCGGGGCCGGGGACCTTGGGCCGGGGACCGCAGGCCGGCACCAGGCAGGCAGGCGGGGCCGCTGAGAGCCAATCAGGGTGCCGGGGGCGGCCCCAGGCGGCCGATAAAGGGTGCTAGGCGGCGAGTAGCCCGGCAGAGCCGAGGATGGGAGTAGAGCGGCGTCCTTGAGCAGCACTGGACTCCTCGCCTCTCATTTCATCTCGCTCTCGCCAACCAGCTCGCCCTTCCACCTGCTGGCCGCCCAGGTAAGCGCCTGGCCCGCCTGGGGGTCGAGCGCCCCATCTTCCTCCTCCCCACCCGCGGCGTCCCGGCCTTTGCTTGGTCCCACACCTCCCACCTTGGGCCCCCAACTTTGCGCCTCGGCCTCTCCAGCTCCGGGGCCGGGGTTCCTCCGCCGTCGGAGCGGGCCAGGCTGGGCGCGCCCTGGCAGGGCCCTGAGCAGGGCGGGGGCAGTTGTTTTGATCGTCTTTCGCTGCCTGCGGCGGGAGGAGGCGCCGCCCCCAGCACTCGGCGGCCTTGTGGACTGAGTGGCCGGGGTGCTCCTGCGGGGAGCGCGCGCCGGGGCGACGC